ACCAAATCCGGCACGGCATGAAAGGATGCCTTATCAGCCGGTAGGGAGACTGAAGCCGCCAAGCTCAACGCTATCGCTGGGTCGATAATGATGGATGCATCAGAGGAAATCGGCGTGTCTCTCATCTTTGGCTGAACAATGAAAGGAACAACCACGTCCGAATTTTCTAAGCGAGGCCTTTTGTCAGCAGGACTAACTTCTGAACCGACCTCTTCCTCGGCGCTACGCTTCTTGCCCTGCTCTTCCAGAATCAACAGTTCTTCAATGACCGGTTGTTCAACCTCTTTCGCCGTTTCGGCCGCAACAATCTGAACCGGCTCTTCAATAACGGGTTTGAAAGACTCAATCAAGACGGGTTCAGAACGGGTGGCCTCAGCCTTTTTTCGGGGGGCCATTCGCTCGGCATTTTTCTTTCGAGCCATCTGCGTGAGGTTTTCCCTAGCCATACTTTCAAAAAAATCGCCGAGTAGGTCTCCCAAACTTGCAAAAATATCTCCAGAAGAAAACTCCGCTCGACCCGAAGTGGACGGTGAGGCAGGCTGATTAAGTCTGGCTACCTCAAACACCGAGTTTAGGTCCTCGTCGACCTCTTCGGCCTCCTCAGCGAACTCTCTGGTTGGTTCGGTGACTACCTCTACCACCGGCGCCACGTCTTGCCCCAAATCAGAAGCTTCGAGACCAACTTGCCTAAGGCTCTTGAAGCTAGGGAAGATAAGAGCCGCAAGGTGTTGATCGCCGGTTAGAATTGGAATGTTGTTCGTGGCCGAAAAAGTAGTATAAGTAGGCTCGTATCGAAGAAGTATGTGGGCTGCTCTCCCTTACTTCTGTACGTTTGGACGACCGAAGTACCAGAGTGCAGTCGTAATCTGCGCAAAGACTGCGTCGTCAGTAGAAGTCAGAATTTTCTTTAATTTACTGCCTACAAAGACAAAGGGTTACACTTGGAGATAAGGTCGAGTAAAAGAAAAGTTCAATAGACACAAGGAGATACACGGCCACCTGGTTCACCCTTCCGTCTGGGAATAGGGTCTAGGCGGTCCTCGCCTTCGCCAAATTCTCAGCTCCCTCGAACATTGACCATTACGTCATCCACTCGCTTGCCAGAACTGGCAAGCATGGATGCCAAATGATGGTCAGTATCCTTGGCCCTAAGAAAGTACCGCCCGAGCCGACTGGAAGATTTGGCTAAAGCATAGAAGTGCCGAATAGCCTGAATGCCAAGATCGATCGTGAGGCGCCGGTTTAACTCTACGATCCCCATTACGATTTGAAAAAAATTCACATTGGGCTGAGAAGGAATTAGACCCCAATGGCGGAGGACGGCCCTAAGGAATAGATCTAGGGGAAAACGGACTCCACCCTCCGCAATGGATAGGAGAGGCAAGACGATTGTGTTGCGATCCTCTCTCTCCATATCCAGAGTATTGTCCGTCACTAGAGATAGATGAACATCATCAGGAATAGAAAAATGTCGTCGGAATCCCGAGATACGACCTTCGGAAAGGAGTTCTTTCAGGTGCTTAGCCATTTTAGCAAAGATCCGAGGGTATGCCAAAGCTAAAATAAGCACGGAAACTAGGATTTCAAAGAAAGAAAGAAAACTTACAAGAGGTGAAGAAGACGAGGATAGACGGACGAAAGTTGCAGAGAAAAGCGTTAGAAGAGCGATACTGGCTGGGAATCCAGGAGGCCCAAGTATTCAAGAAAAGCATGCATTCGAAAGGACTGAAGTTTCAAATCGTATTAAATGCAAAAGGTGCACGAATGAGGCGGGAAAGCATAATGATGACCAAAAAGACGTGCGCGCTCTGACACATTGGGATAGGCAGAGCCGCCTAACTTATGTCTTGGCTTTTCAGAATCAAAACCAAACACGCCAGTTAACTACTATCAATGGCGAATTTGGGGGGCAATTGTGGGAGCCAAATATTTGGCAATGTCGGGAGGAGCGTACTCTGCAGAACAGACACTATTCGGTATTATCCCGCGTGCTGAGGAGGCCGAATACAATAGATAGGCCGGATAAAGCGTAAATCCATGGAGCCGAATATAAGAGAGGACAATGAGTAACGATAGGCCCTGGCCCCGAGGCCTAGGAAACGAGTATAAATACAGGAACTACAGATAAAGAAAGGGGAGGAAAATAAGAATCTCCTTGTTTAACTTAGAATACAAATAACCTAGAGCTCGAGACTGACTTGTCCGTCGGAGTGCTAATTCCGGCACCCACATCGGAGTGTTTATTTCCTTTTAGGTGACTATCTGAGGAATCCTAGCGTCTCCCAAGATCCGAAGGGTATTTCCAAACTACTTCCACACAGTTGTTATTCACTAGGCTCCTGCTAACCGTATTATTTATGTAAGTAGGTGACTAGGCATGTGACCAGGCACAAAGTTGATTGCCTAGAGTTTCGTTTTGAGCCATTTCTATTTGGACATCATTCATAAACCATTTAATTTTTTATTTATTTATTTTTTTAGTTTTAGTATTTTTTTTCTAAATTGTTTTCAATTTATTTATTTATTTATTATTTACATTCCCAATTTAATTAGTGTAAAAGAATAAAAATAAAAAAATTCCAAAAACAATAAAGATTCACCAAAGCTAAAATGCTAACTATTTATGATTTTTTTTATTTTTGATTTTAGTGATTTTTTTTAAATTTGTTTAATAGAATAGAATCTAAAAGTCTAAATCTTTTTTTAAAAAAATTTACTATAAATAAAAAAATAAAAATAAAAAAAGTCAATAGCAAATGAATCAAAATAGAGCAGAGTGGTGATGTAATGTTGTGGTGGCCGAGTCACATTTTTTTTGTTTTTTTTTTTTTTAATATAAAGTGGAGGTATTAACTTTTGGGGGATGCACCAATAAATCCCAAATTAATAACTTATGCACTATTTAGTCCTAAAAGTTTTTTTATAGACTGAAATGTCCCATTACAATGTTAATAACATCAGATACAATGTTAGTAACATCAGAGTCATATTACAAACATTAGATTTCAAACATCTAACACTACAAGAAAAGTGGGTATATGAGATGGGACTATTTGCGACGGCACACTTGCCGTCTCAAAAAGTGACTTTTTGAGACGGCATATTCTGCTGTCGCAAAAAGTGACTTTCGTGTTTTTTGTTAATTTTTAGTGAATATTTTTAAAATTTTGAATATTTTTTTTAGATGCACCTTAGATGTATCTAAAAAAAAAATTATGAAAAAATATTTTTAAAAATTAATAAATACATAAAAATACAAAAAAAAAAAAAGTATTGAATTATTGTATTTTTTGTATTTAGTGAATGTTTAAAAGATTTTTTTTACAATTTTTAAAATTTTTAGGTGTATTTATGTTAGGTGTGTCTAAAAATTAAAAAAAAATACTTAGAATATTAAAAAAATTCAGTAAAAACAATATAACACGGAAACACAAGAAAGTATAATTTTCTCAAAAGAGTTTTTGGAAAACTCTAACCTAGCATAGTGATTGTTGTTTTGAGACAGTTTCATATATATACAGTCACAAAATGGTTTGAATAAATTCTAGTACTTTTTTCTGTCACAAAAAAAATTTAAAAAAACAATGTCTTCTTACTCTTTTGATATAACATTTCTCTTTTCATTCATTTTTTCATCTTCATGTCTCTCTGTCTCTATCTCTCTCTCTTTTCTTTATCTCTTTCACTCATCACTCTTTTTTCTCTGTCTGTCTGTTTCTCTCACTCATTTTCTCTCTGTGTCTCTCGCCTATCTCTCTTCTCTCTATCTCTCTCATCTGTTTTCTCTCTCTGTCTCTCTCACTCATCTCTTTTCTCTCTATCTCTCTCATTTCTTTTCTCTCTCTCTCTTATCTTTCTATCTTTCTCGTCCATTTCTCTTCTCTCTCTGTCTTTCTCTTTTTCTGTGTCTCTCTCTCGTTCATCTCTTTTCGCTCTATTTCTCTCTCTTTTTGTCTATCTCTCGCTCATCTGTTGTTTCTCTCTCTTTACCTATCTTTCCCTCTATCTCTCTCTCTCTCTCTCTCTCTCTCTCTCTATCTCTTTTTCTGTCTATCTCTCTCTCCCTGTCTCTCTCTCACTCGTCACTCTTCTCTCTCTCTCTCTCTACTTGTCTATTTGTCTATTTCTCCTTCACTATGTTTGCCTTGCTCACTCTCTTACTCCCATCTTCTCTATTTATCGAGCTCCTTCTCGATTTATCGATCCACTATAAGTGATGTCGTCTTACTCTTTTGAACATTTCTCTTTTCACCCATTTTTTCATCTTCCTATCTCTCTGTCTCTGTCTCTCTTCTCTTTTTCTCTCTTACTCATCACTCTTCTCTGTCTGTCTATCTCTCCCTTTCTCTATGTGCCTCTGTCTCTCTTCTCTGTCTCTCTCTCACTCATCACTCTTTTCTGTCTGTTCGTCTCTCTCTTTCTCTCTGTGTCTTTGTCTCTCTTCTCTTTCTCTCTCTTACTCATCACTCTTCTCTGTCTGTCTGTCTGTCTGTCTCTCTTTTTCTCTGTGTCTCTCGTCCATCTCTCTTCTCTCTATCTCTTTCATCTATCTTCTCTCTCTGTCTCTCTCTTTTTTTTTTCTCTCTCGCTCATCTCTTTCTGTCTCTCTCTCGTTTATCTCTTTTCGCTCTTTTTTTTTCTCTTTCTGTCTCTCTATTTGTCTATATTTTTTCACCAATTTTTTTATCTTTTTCTCTGTATTTTCTTTCTCCCTCTCATAGCAAGTGTATGAAGGTAACTTATGAATTTTTAAATACAACACAGGAAAATAAGAAGGAAATGGTTGGTTTATATAGAACTCTTTATGACTTTTAAAAAATATAATAGATTTAAAAGGATAAAATTGAGATTTAGAAAAAGTAAAAAACAAATAAGAAGGGAATAGTTGATTTATGTATGGCTTTTCATAATTTTAGAAAATATAATAGATTTGAAAAGCGAAATTGAGATTTAGAAAATGTAAAAAATATGATAGGCTCAAACACTTTTATAACAGTAATATGTTGAGTTACTTTTTGTCTGCTGTCTAGTTTTCGTTGTTGTATTGTGTCTCTCTGCGGGAAGGTATGGCTTCCGAGCTCTGCATCGAAAGGAACGATTCCAAATGGGAGATTAGAGATTCACCGGCGAAGAAGCAACGGTGCGAGGGTTACGCTTCCCCACCACCTCCACCATCACCATCAGCGCTTTGTTCATCAGCAGAAGAAGAAAAAGAAGACCCTAGATCTAAAATCGTATTCTATAACTACGATGATGATTCAGATGTGGAAGATGATAGTGATGGAATGCATGAGTTTACTAATAAGGAATTCCAAGAGTATGATAGACAGTTAACCCAAAGTGATGTATGTATATCTTATCTAGCTTCTCTTAATACTTCACTCTTTCATTTGTCTCTATTTTCTTCAAAATCCTATTTATATATATATATATGTGTGTGTGTGTGTGTGTGTGTGTGTGTGTGTTTTATATTAGAATTTGTGGGCTTACAATACATATATACATATACAGGGCTTTGATGTCATGCACTTCCCACGCTCGTTTGGGTTTGGTGGAACATCGCCGGTTTTTAACCTGGATGAGATTGCCGACGATCTCAAAACTTTTGCGGAATTAGCGCTTAAGCAATACAATGACAAAGAGGTGTATTTCTTTATTCAATTAAAGTTTTTTTTTCATCGTTTTGTTTGTTTGTTTGTTTGGTTTGAGAATTAACCTTTGTTATTCATAATATATGTCAGAAAATATGTGTGCAGTTTAAGAATCTGGAGTTTGGGAAGGTTATGAAGGCAAACTGGGGTTTATGTGTAGGGTTTAAGTATTATATTACCTTTGATGTTAAGGATGTTGATGTTGTTGATGGTGGTACTATGGAATTTGAAGCTTGTGTTTGGGATGGGATCGGCCATACTGACGTACTAATTTCTGAACCGACCTCTTCCTCGGCGCTACGCTTCTTGCCCTGCTCTTCCAGAATCAACAGTTCTTCAATGACCGGTTGTTTAACCTCTTTTGCCGTTTCGGCCGGAACAATCTGAACTGGCTCTTCAATAACGGGTTTGAAAGACTCAATCAAGACGGGTTCAGAACGGGCGGTCTTGGCCTTTTTCCGAGCGGCCATTCCCTCGGCATTTTTCTTTCGAGCCATCTGCGTGAGGTTTTCCCCAGCCATATTTTCAAAAAAATCGCCGGGTAGGTCTCCTAAACTTGCAAAAAAATCTCCACAAGAAAACTCCGCTCGACTCGAAGTGGACGGTGAGGCAGGCTAATTAAGTCCAGCTACCTTAAACGCCGAGTTTAGGTCCTCGTCTATCTCTTCGGCCTCCTCAGCGAACTCTCTGGCTGGTTCGGCGACTACCTCTACCACCGACGCCACGTCTTGCCCCAAATCAGAAGCTTCGAGACCAACTTGCCTAAGGCTCTTGAAGCTAGAGAAGATAAGAGCCGCAAGGTGTTGATCGCTGGTTGGAATTGGAATGTTGTTCGTGGCCAAAAATGTAGTATAAGTAGGCTCGTATCGAAGAAGTATGTGGGCCGCTCTCCCTTGCTTCTGTACATTTGGACGGCCGAAGTACCCGTGTGCAGTCGCAATCTGCGCAAAGACTGCTTCGTCAGTAGAAGTCGGAATTTTCTTCAATTTACTGCCTACAAAGACAAAGGGTTACACTTGGAGATAAGGTCGAGTAAAAGAAAAGTTCAATAGACGCAAGGAGATACACGGCCACCTGGTTCACCCTTCCGTCTGGGAATAGGGTCTAGGCGGTCCTCGCCTTTGCCAAATTCCCAGCTCCCTCGGACATTGACCATTACGTCATCCACTCGCTTGCCAGAACTGGCAAGCATGGATGCCAAATGATGGTCAGTATCCTTGGCCCTAAGAAAGTATCGCCCGAGCCGACCGGAAGATTTGGCTAAAGCATAGCAGTGCCGAATAGCCTGAATGCCAAGATCGATCGTGAGGCGCCGGTTTAACTCTACGATCCCCATTACGATTCGAAAAAAATTCACATCGGGCAGAGAAGGAATCAGACCCCAATAGCGGAGGACGGCCCTAAGGAATAGATCTAGGGGAAAACGGACTCCGCCCTCTGCAATGGATAGGAGAGGCAAGACGATTGTGTTGCGATCCTCTCTCTCCATATCCAGAGTATTGTCCGTCACTAGAGATAGATGAACATCATCAGGAATAGAAAAATGTCGTCGGAATCCCGAGATACGACCTTCGGAAAGGAGTTCTTTCAGGTGCTTAGCCATTTTAGCAAAGATCCGAGGGTATACCAAAGCTAAAATCAGCACGGAAACTAGGATCACAAAGAAAGAAAGAAAACTTACAAGAGGTGAAGAAGACGAGGATAGACGAACGAAAGTTGCAGAGAAAAGCGTCAGAAGAGCGATACTGGCTGGGAATCCAGGAGGCCCAAGTATTCAAGAAAAGCATGCATTCGAAAGGACTGAAGTTTCAAATCGTATTAAATGCAAAAGGTGCACGAATGAGGCGGGAAAGCATAATGATGACCAAAAAGACGTGCGCGCTCTGACACATTGGGATAGGCAGAGCCGCCTAACTTATGTCTTGGCTTTTCAGAATCAAAACCAAACACGCCAGTTAACTACTATCAATGGCGAATTTGGGGGGCAATTGTGGGAGCCAAATATTTGGCAATGTCGGGAGGAGCGTACTCTGCAGAACAGACACTATTCGGTATTATCCCGCGTGCTGAGGAGGCCGAATACAATAGATAGGCCGGATAAAGCGTAAATCCATGGAGCCGAATATAAGAGAGGACAATGAGTAACGATAGGCCCTGGCCCCGAGGCCTAGGAAACGAGTATAAATACAGGAACTACAGATAAAGAAAGGGGAGGAAAATAAGAATCTCCTTGTTTAACTTAGAATACAAATAACCTAGAGCTCGAGACTGACTTGTCCGTCGGAGTGCTAATTCCGGCACCCACGTCGGAGTGTTTATTTCCTTTCAGGTGACTATCTGAGGAACCGAAGCGTCTCCCAGGATCCGAAGAGTTTACCCCTATGATGATTTTGATATGATTCAGCTTTCGAAAGCTATCTTCGACCATTTCAAAACTCTCTTCGGATTGCTATCTTCCCTTTGATTAATGCATGTGCTTTAGATTATGCCTGCACGCTTATACACTCTGGTTGCTTTGAATTGCGTGATTGGTTGCTCTTGCTCTTAACTTTGTTCTGCACTTAAACAGAGTTTTGTCGAGTTACCTCCCTTTGTGCTGCATTTCAATGAGTTGTGGCAAGTTGCCCTCTACTCATCTAGCAAGGTACATGACATATTACTCTGAGTACTGTTTATTACCCTCTGCATACCATGCATCGCTCACCTACATTGCACTATTTTGTGCATTTCACCTTGCATCGAACTGTTTTGTGCACTTTGTATCACGCTGTCCTATTCACTTTGTATCGCACTATTTTGTGCATCATTGTAAACGTTTCAAAAACTAAGACTTATGGGTAAATTTTCCTTTTTTTTTTTTTTTTTTTTTTTTTGAACAAATGGAGGTATTAACTTCGATATCATACTTTTTCTAGAACCCTTTTTCCCTTTCTCTCATTCATTTATTATTGACAAGTATTTTTGACCAACGTAGATTGGAAAGTGGGACGAAATATCGGAGTTTGAAATTATGTTCATAGGGGAGGAAATACGCCAAGGATGATACAATAAATTACTAAATAATAAAGACATAAATAGATACAGTGATTTAACATTGAAATTTTACGTGAAATTTTCCCAGAAGATAAAAAAATCACAATCTTAATACCTCAAATATTCTGATAAATAAATAAAAAAATTTATAAAATTTAGACAAAAAGAATTACTACCATACCTCGTCACCTAAAATCATCTCTACGCTCCATGAACTCCACTTGACTCAATTAACCTACTTTGATTTGCTAGTCTTTCACGAAACTCCTCTCCTCATTCATTGGACTCCTATAATTATGCTCATCCAAATGCCCAGGGAATATGAGAATGATGCATTATCGTGTGATGTAAAGAGGGGAGGTTTTTATTTAAAATATTGAATATAAATTTTTCAAAATATGCAAATATTAAATGACACTCAAAAATGTCGAGAATTCCAGAAGCTGCTAATAATAAGAGGACCCAAACTTAGAAAATGTATTAAGGACCCATTTATATAAAAATAGAATCTAAAGTAGATTGAATTAGGCCTTGTTTTGCTACAGTAATCGACCCCCAAAGCATACCTACACTTTGGTAGTGGAGCAATCGATTTCTAAGACTCAAGTTGTTTTAGATTGTATTTGATTTATGAATTTGGATAGGTATTTGAACATATAAAATAAAAAGGTAAGTGAAATATAATTATATGTTATTTACATTTTTCTTTTCTTTTTTTCTAATTATTTATTCAAATTCATGATCCAAACACAGTCTTATGAACCAATTCTATCTATTGCAAATCTTCTCACACGGTTATGTTAATAGTTTTTACCAAAACAGTAAACAATTAATTAATTGAGCCTCCATTTTGCTCATTCCTTTTTCCCCAACTTTGAAAAAAAATATATATATATATATATATATTCAGATAATTATAGTTCAATATCATATAGCTAGAAGCATAACAATGAACACAAGAAATAATCCATAATACGAAGGAATAAATAACTCACTAGGACTCCATAATAGGGAGAAATATCAATATTTTCTTTTGACAAGGATTAAGAGGAGCTTTGATTCGCAACCACAAGCCTTTTATTTTATTTCTTTATTTTTTACATAATTATTTTGTTTTTATATTAATTATTGAACAAAAATTCATGGTCTGATTAATATTCAAACAATTAATTTTTGTTTAGTAATCATTATCCAAATGGATAAAATGATATGAGTTGGGAATAAATAAAAAAAAAGAAGTGTGTGCAATTAAAAAGTCCAAGAATTGAACCCCATACTGTTTTGCTTATATTCAACGATTTTGAGAAGCTGATTAAAGAAAATCCATAGAAGCATATATAGATTCAATTTGTGTTTTACATGGTTGTCCCGTGACGGCAAGTTTACAAATAGCTAATGGAAAATTTTCAGTAATGTGTAAGTTTTAAAAAATAATTACAAATAATTGGTAAATGATTCATCACTCTAATTTGAGAGTTCTAAATAGAGCTCTAATGACCTAGCAATGAAAAAAAAAATGACATTATTGTGGGACCCACACATCATTAGAGCTCTCTAAAGCTTTTCTTTAAGAGCTCCCAATCTTTTTTCTATTTATAAATACATAAATGATACATCCCTCTAATTTAGAAGTTCTTAAAGAGCACTAATGAGATGAAAAATCAAAAATAAATAAATAAAGACCAAAACATCACATCTCTTGGGATCCACACACCAATTAGAGCTATTAAAGCACTACAAGAAAATACATTTTTGCTGACCATTTTTGGCTACCAAAAACAATTTAGTGGCCAAAAGTCACGGAATTGGCTACCAAAAATAATATTAGTCGGCAAAAGTCAACTTTTTAGCTACTAAATTTTTTTAGTAGGGGAATGTTGATTATTGGCAACTAAAAAAAATTTAGTAGCTAAAAATATTACAATTGGCGACTAAAAAAATTTTTAGTAGCTAAACATATCACAATTGGCAACTAAAAGAAAATTTAGTAGCTGTAGAGGTACCTTTAGCTACTAAATTGTTTGGTAGCCGAATAAAAGTAAAAAAATTAATTTTTAATCTTTGCTGGCCAAAATATTGATCGCCAAATGTTAAGTTTCGGCGACAAAATTCCTTTTAGTCGCTGTAGACCTACTTTTGGCTACTAAATTGTTTGGTAGCCAAATGAAAATAAAAAATTTAATTTTTAATCTTTGCCGAGCAAAATTTTGGTCGCCAAATGTTAAGTTTCGGCGACAAAATTCCTTTTAGTCGCTGTAGACCTACTTTTGGCTACTAAATTGTTTGGTAGCCAAATGAAAATAAAAAATTTAATTTTTAATCTTTGCCGACCAAAATTGTGGTCGCCAAATGTTAACTTTCGGCGACAAAATTCCTTGTAGTCGCCAAAGACCTACCTTTAGCTACTACATTTTTTGGTAGCCGAATGAAAATAAAAAAATTAACAAAATAGTTATTTTATTTTATTTTATTTATTTTTATTTTTATTTTTATTTTTAGCTTTTTTGTTTTATTTTGAGCACCGACAGCCAAAGTGGGTGGAAATGTAGCATTATTGGACCTATGATTGGTGCTCCGGAGCTGTACCAACATTCATTCATTTTTATAATATATGGTTTAGCATCTTCTATTTCAATTTTCTTACATAATTATGGAGAGAGAGAGGGCAGAAGATGATCAACATAATAATTGAAATTTGTTTAAGCTTGGTTTGGGAAGTAGGTTGGCTTTTTGATTTTTTGGCTTGTTTGGCTATTTTAGCCTGGGCTAAAAAACTTGGTTTGGGAAGGACTTTTTGGCTTTTTGGCTTTTTTGACTTTTTTTGTGAGAGAAGAATGTAATGATTATAGGTTGGATGTGATGTTTTGTTTGTTATGGCTAAAATAGCCTATTTTGTTTTTTGTGGCTAAAATAGCCAAAAAAGCCTGAAAAAGCCCTTGCCAAACACAGGCATACATAAAATTTGATGAAGTTGAAAGAAGAATATTAGTTCATGTAAACTAAGGGTTCATAAAGCTTTAGATTCTTCTATGGTAGCTACCACATGATCAAATTTAATTGGATGGCTCAACTTTTTTTTATATCTTAATTTGTCTCATCTTCTGCTATGTTTCTATTTTTTTCTTAGAATTTGAATTATTGCTATTTGGAAGGACCCAAAGGTCAGCTCTTTTGTGCACTTGAATTGAATGGCTTATTACACTATGAGGGTCATTGGACTGACTGTTAGGTGAGAAGAGGAAAGATGTAATTGAATATGTTCAGAGACTCATCAGATGTTCTCTTGGATTTGAGGTGAATTCAATGCCTCACTTTTAGTTTTGTGTGGTTAAATTGTTACCTAGGTCATCCTCTGTTGGTTCTGTTTTGTGGGTATATAGTTTTTTGATTTTTTTTTTTTGCCATCTTCAACATATAGTTAAAGGAACCCTCTTTCTTGTCTGGAGGAGTTGAAATTATTGTTGAAATGCATGTGAGAGCAATTCAATTTCTGAGGTGTTCAGGCATGGTTATTTTGCAGTGAAGAGGCTTCACTCTGCTTTTTTATGTGTCCTATGAACAGTTCTTTTGTTCTTTGCCTTATATTTTTTAAATTGTGTTGGTATGTTGATGTTGTGGATACATTTGATGACTCATTTCCATTCAGTATTAGTTGAATTTTATAGGGGTTGACAATTTAGGGGAAATTTTATTGTTTGTCATATGGCTTCCAAGTGAAATCAAGAATTCATTATGAATGATCTCTTAGGAAGCATGTTAGTTCTTATGTTTAGATGATTTGAGGCAGTTAAGCTGGCATTGGCATGGCTATCTATCGCTTGTTGCATCTGGCATTATTGAGTCACCCACATATAGTCTAATAATTTAATACTACTTGAGGGATTAAGTGATTGTGGACATCCTTTGACCATGTAGTGTAGCCTATTTGGTCCTGAATATATGTGAAACATTGCATTGAAAAGTTAGTTAAGAAAGGTTTTGTTCAACCTATTTTAGGGCAGTTAATAGATTGGGGAAGTGTTTCTACCATTTGCTACTGCCCTATGATCTAATTGTGTGTCACGACCCAAACCCGGCCCTATGGGTTTAGCACCGTAACCGGCTAGTAATCCGAGATTACCAAAGGCCTGCTTAACAGTAGTACAGTAAAACAGAGTACAGGGCCTGGCGGAAGCCAATACAGTAATTAAACCATGCCCAATGAGCTGTGACAGTCTGTATGCAAAAAAAAAACTTTTCATACATATATACATAACCAATACAGAACAGTATGCACAATATATATACAATCATTCAGACTAGGGACTCCATCCCTTACATAACGGTACAGTAAACATTCAGTCTATGCAATCCATTCGGTTATTACAAAACAGTAAGACAATACAAAAGGGGGAATCCTAAAACACCCCTAAGCCTTAGCATGATAGGCTCGGAACCTCGCAGTGAGGCACAAAGGCTGGCTGACAAAACTGGAGTCACCCTGACGCTCCTAGCCGCGGTCTGGTGCCTGAACACCTACATATATATATGAGCAGTGAGCTAAAGCCCAGTGAATAACATAATGCGTAAAGAGGTTAAGAATGAATGCCCTTATAGTATGAAAACAATTCATTTAAACAGTATTTCAGTCGTTCAGTCTGTACAGTCATATGTGGTACACCCATTAGCATAACAGTACAGTAGACAGTAGGTCTTAGAAGACCGAACAGTAATGATGGCCATCAGTCAGTAAACAGTAGTGGTTCCAACAAGGGAACCGACAGAGATTTCTGTCACAGTAACAGTAAACAATAGGTGCTAAGGATGCCACAATACAGTTCAGAATATAGGACATACATTCATTCAATTAACAGTATCAGTTCAGAAAGCAGTACAGTTCAGTTGTTCAGAAGATAATCATTTCGAACATATCTTTACACAGTCGTTACTCACAGAGTTTGGGCTACAGTAAGCTAGAGCGTGCCTCCCCAGTCGCCAACCCTACACAGTTAACAGATTGAACACACTAAG